CTCTATATTTTAGTAACAGATATATATATATATATGATGTAGAGAAATGTAGAGAAAACAAGGAAAAAATTACGAAACAGTGAAAAAAGGGGGGGAAAAAGAGGAGAAATAATAATAAAAATAACAAAAAACCGGAAAAAAGGACAAGCACTCTTTTTTACGATATAATCTTGTGAGCTGATGAAAAGATTATATCTTTTATTTTCCAGATCTGAAATTTTTTTAAAAAATATTTTTTGTCCTTTTTTTCCGGTTTTTTATAAATTTTATTTTTATCAGTATTATTTCCCCCCCCCCTTTTTTTTTCCATTGTTCTGTAATTTTTCCCTGGTTTTCTCCACATTTTGAACTTATTTTATGAGTTCTATTTACTTGCAGCTTATGCGCAATAAATAAAATTTATTGTTTTTCTTAATTTTCTTCGTGTTTTTTTGTTTTTATTTATTATGCTATATATATATAGTTATCCTGAGAAACTTTGCTCCAATTTAATCCATGTTTCTTAGCTGCCCTACATACACTCGTACTTGAGAAAAGTGTAATTAATAACCTCCCAACAGAAGACCAATAAACAAAATAGCGTCAATGTCGCCAAATGGCGATAACATTTGATCCCCCGGAACTGGGAAACGCCTTCTCCACGCTTTACCTCATCTTCCAGCCCAGACTATCTTCTCATCTTGGAATTGGGTGAGTGTTGTTGTTTATATTTTGTCACGCATTTTATCCTTTTCATTTATCCCTTTAGAGCAGGTTAATTTCAAATGTCGACATTCTGTTGCCAATTACTATCACTCATTTTTACATGCATCTGTTAAAGGTTAAGAAGCAAAGCGTTGTCACTTTTTTTTAAATTTTATTTTTCGGGTCCGAATTTATTCGTTAAATTCCAAAACGATGCTCTCGTAAACATCACATTTCATATAATTAAAGAAAAACTCAAAATAATTGAAAATAAATTTTTACTAGTATAAGCGTTGTGAATTAATTATTAATAGTTTTCGTAATAAGATCTGATTTAAATTTATTCGCTTAATTTCAAATTGATACTCTTGTAAATTTCCCATTTCAGATAATTAGAGGAAAATAATTTACATTCAAAAACGTATTTTTTATTTATAAAAAAAAATAACGAATCTGTTTGAATTAATAGAAATTTTAATAATTTGTATAATTATTGTAAACTTGAGCAAAAAAAAATTTTTTGAGATAGAAATGAAGTAATGAGCTACCTGTTTTTTTGGAAAGATTATTAATGTTTAAAATTTATAATTTAATTTTGTTCGAATTAATTTTTTCGTAAATCATTTATGGTGTAAACATGTTTCAGATATGAGTATGAATACCAAAAAACGTATTATTTTTCTTACAAAAAAGTAAATTAGAAAAAAAACCCCGTTTCTATTTAAATGTTCTAAAAAAGTTGGGGGATATGAACCCTGGTTACTATCTCGTAACATTGGTCCACTCTAGACGATGAGTATGAAGATTCCTATTCGATAATTTTGCTCTAAATAATTAAAATTCCCACTGTAAATAATTAATATATTTTTTTCATTGCAAAATCCCTGAAAACAAAAGAATAAGTTGTTTTAGCTGAGGTGTCATTAGACAACTATGTATAATACAGTTTTACTTATGTACAACTTTTATAAGTGAAAATAATTTACCTCTATATTTTAGTAACAGTCGATTTTACTGAGGTGGCTATAAATATTGATTTTTCTTAAAATATTTTTTCAAAGTTAATCGTCATTAGAGACCGTTTACTAGTAGTTGATCTTACGTATTGAAATATTTTGTTTAAACTAGTTTAACTTAACAAAATATGCATTTGACCTATTTTAAAATTTTCATTTATATTTATGTTTTAATTATAGTTGCATTAATTCACAATGAGTCTTACCTTTGAGAGAAAACAACCACCTTCAAAACATTTTCGAAATGAAAAAGTTCAAAATTCCACATATTTATGCAGTTGAAAATCATATGATTTAAAAGCTGAAACTGTCCATTATCTTGCTTCTTTATGTAAACAAAATGATGTCTCTCTCTTTTTCGTTTAAAATAATTTTTTCTGTTAATAATTTGTTTGTCCCAAGAAAATCTGTCATTTTCCTGGCTACTTTTATTTAGTGGTTTATAACCAAAATAGATAGAGCCAGCAATCAATATCTTATGTGAATAGATTGATTAGATACCCTCCTATATGAACATGTCTTGTTGCATGAATAAAGAACCAATTTTCTGGTTCAAAATCTATTTCAAAAAAATTCTTCATGATGAGTAGGTTTTTGTGTTGTCATTTTCCTGGCTTCTTGAAATCATTAATAACATAAACTACATAGATTTATCTAAGTTATTTTAAGAAATCCTGTTGTTTTCTGCAGAATGTAAACGTTTTAGGACAAAATATTAAATTGAAGTAAAGTTATATACTATAAAATGGCGAATTTGTTATTATCCTGGTTGTCATTTTCCTGGCTTACGAATGCCAGGACATTAAAGTGTTACCAAAAATTTCTTTTAACTACTAATACTGTAAGGAGAAAAAGCAAATATTAACCTAATACCAAGTTTATGTATGATTGTAATATAGTTTGATGAAATCAAAGCTATTTATTTATTTAATTACTGATTATTATACACAATTTTATTCTGTACATATCAGCAACCAAAAAAAAAATTTGATTCCTTTTACAGTGGATAAAAAGAATTAATTTAAGCAATTTATGGTCCATCTAGCATAAAGGCTTAAGTTGAGTTACTTACTATTTACTTAAAGTGACTGTTTTTTAAACTTCTAAGCTAAATATGTCATTTTCCTGGCATTCAAAATTTGGTGAATTTCTATTTTATTTTTTTTCTCGAGTAAATGTCAATAAAATACACTGCTGCCTGTAAGATATTAATAAATGTAACTAAAGAAGTATACAAAAAAAAAATTTAGATTATTTTGAAGAAATGTTTTGGTCCGAATTGTCATGTTTAAAAAGAATTACTTCAATAAGTAATTCATTTTAGTGAATGCGTTATGTGATGTTAGACGTAATATAGTTAAGTTATTTTCAAAATATGTGTATCCATTCAAATTATAATAACTTAAATGGCTCAGTCATTCATTCACAGCTCATTTTATTTCATGCATATGTTTTATGATTGTAAAACTTATATAGTTTGTCTAAAGTTGGAACTCCTCTAGCCATTCGCCTGGATCCGTGATGGTGATTATGGTAACTAGGTATAACTATTTCAAATAGGGTATGGGGTCGGCGAAATAAAGGGAATCTTTTTCTTCGGTCTATTGTGTTAGCCCTCGAGGGAGGAGAAACTACCCTCTCTGAAATGCGTTATTCTTGTTTTCTAGCAGAAGACGGGCTCAGACTTTGTGGCGGGGGGAGTTCTTACCGTAGACAAACTATACTTAGACTGAGAAAGTTTACGAAGTACTTGTCCGTGAAGCGGACACTTCACTTCCTTATAGATGATAGTGCCCTTGGGTCAGGGCTCGAAAAACCACCCGTCCGCCCGTCCTCGGCGGTCAAAAATTCCCCGCGGACAACGAATTTCTCGAATCCGACGCCCGCGCGGACGGCCATTTTCCCGTTAATGTTGGTGATACATTTTCAATTTTTGTTATCTTACAAAAGTCTAGCGCCTCACTTTTATAATGACCCTCTATTCTAGAAATACAGCAACATACTGCGCATGGTGGAATTGATGTTTTCTCTGTCTCCCGTACTGAAGCGGTTGAAAGGGACTTTTCAGCAATGAACTTACAAAAAGAAAAAAAAAAGAAAAAAAAACATTACGTACTGGTCTTAAACAAGAAGCGTTAAACACAATTATGAACATCTACCTAAATTGAAAACCCCTTTCAGATTTTTGTGCAGAAACCTCTGTAAATCATTAGCTTGATTGTGGAACTGGCAAACGTCATATTTGATTCATTTAAAAAACGCAGTACCCTCGGATACATTGACATTCCAGATAACTTGACTTTTATATTATTTCATGAAAGAAATAAACTATTTCATAAAAGAAATAAATTATTTTACAAAAGAAATACTGGGTTCCTATTAGTAACCAAGTATTCCTTTTATTACTGTATAATGCAATCCTAGTATTTGTAATCCTAATTCATTGTGCAATTTATATAAATGTTTGTAATAAATAAGAGAAAATTATATTTTTCTTTATTTAGAAGCGACGGGTTAGTTTCAAAGGAGGACGGGTACATTGTTGGACAAGCCGTCCTCGGGGACGGGTAAAAGATTTGAGTTTTTTCGAGCCCTGCCTTGGGTGATGGATATAATATCAGCAAAATTGTAAAACGAATAAAAACAAAACATGCATTCTCCTATATTTAAAGTAATAACAAACTGAATGATTAACATTGAATTCTCTTTAATAATCTAGATGTGTTTGGTCGCAACAGCATGTGAAAAATACGAGCGATGTTTTCAAAACACCGAACATTTTTCGTAATTGGATATGGTTATGGTTATTTTACAAATGGATATGGTTAAATATTGTCCTTAAATTGAGGAATCTTTAATACTCTCAAGTTGCAAATATTTTGGAATATTTTTCTTTTAAATTTTATGTGGAAAAACATTTTAAAAGAAATGTAATCTTCGACAATACGAAACGTAATAATATTATAATAATGTCCCCTAAAATAAGTCCACTTATTTTCTGGGCCGACCTTAATTTTCGGGGCCATTTTCCGAATTTCCTGAAAATAGACATACCATCCTTTTATCAATTTTTTTTAAAAATCCTTTATTAGAGAGATTTAAAAATAAAAGAAATAATTATTAGCTAAACTAGAAATAATTCATATAACAGGTAGTTAAGCTAAACAGATTTCCTAATTAGTTAAATTAGTGTAAAAATGTGTTAATTAATTATAGCTACGGTTTATTTATAAATTTTCTTTTAACACTTTATGTAAAAACGTTTTATGGTATTTTAAAATAAAAACCCTTGATCTTGAATCTGAAAATGTTTAATTTTTTCGATTAAATGTAATAAAATCATTATTTCATTAAAAAAAATATTTTGCGTTTGAGTTTTTTTTTCTATCTCTTTAATACAAAACTAAAAAAACTAAAAAATAGTTATTTGAAAGATGAGTTTCTAGAAAAGGTCATTACTGTGTTTACTGAAATAAGCAGTAAAAAAAATTAGCACTTTAACATTATATAAACTGTTCTAGGAATTTTACCAATAAAAACGGTTAAAGTATTGGAACTATTTCAATACTTCATACAAAGCATTATCATCAGTTTCAAAACAAAGATATTCATTTTTAGTCTTAATGTTATATTTTACAGTATTTAAATTGCTGTATGTATATTTTCATCAATTTTTATAAGTGATAATTATGTTATTTGCATTTCTATTAGTTTACATTATCTTCTTGTAAGTCGTAGTGAAAAAGATTCATTTTGAGTCTTATAACTGTTGTTTACAGTATAAAAATCATTGTTTTTAAAGATTGTTGATATTGATTTGTTATAATTTACGTTATTTGTATTTCTATTTGAGTTTTGGTTAAAGAGATTCATTTTTAGTTTTGTAACTGTTGTGTGTTTATTGCATTAAAATAGCTGTATGTATGTTGACTATTTTTATTAGTTATAATTATGTTACTCGCATTTCTATTAGTTTTTATGAACTAATAAGTCTTTGTAAAAGATATTATTATTTTGAATCTTGTAGCTGTTGTTTACAGTATGAAAACAGTTTTTATACTGTATGTATCAGGAAATAGTTTTAAAATAGTTCTTTTTAATATTCAGTTTGAGATTTGTTTTAAGTCTTGAAGCTGTTCTTTACAGAATTAAAATAGTTTTCATACCGTAATTGTAAACAAAGTTAATAGTTTTAAAATAGTTCTTTTTAATATTCATTCTGAAATTCGTTTTAAGTCTTGTAACTGTTGTTTACAGCATTAAAATAGTTTTCATACTGTAAATATCAGTTAATAGTTTTAAAATAGTTCTTTTTAATATTCATTCTGAGATTCGTTTTAAGTCTTGTAACTGTTGTTTACAGAATTAAAATAGTTTTCATACTGTAATAGTAAATAAAGTCAATAGTTTTAAAATAGTTCTTTTTAATAATCATTCTGAGATTCTTTTTAAGTTTTATAACTGTTGTTTAACCTTTTGGGGACGGGTGATTCATAAAAGCATTCGTACAAAATCAGAATCAGGATGTAAATAAAAAAAAAAGTNTGTAGCTTAAATGCAGGCGTTGCTAATTTGACAGACTTATTTTGCTTTTACTTTAATTATTGTTAGTTTAATCATATATATAATCAATGTTAGTTCAAAGTATAACTAAATAGTTTTATTTTGAACTAAAGTAATGGTGAATTAAATAAATCAAACAATTATAACCCCGCCCACAAATATACTGTTAAAGAACTACTTTGGTTACCAGTTTTATCTTTTTACCCTGATTGATACTGTTTTATGCTGGCACGTATTTGTGACAGTCGGCGCGAAAGGGTTAAAGCATTAAAATAGTTTTCAGATCGTGATAGTAAACGAAGTTAAGGTTTTAAAATAGTTCTTTTTAATATTTTTTATTAGTGCTAATTAATTTGCATTTCTATTACTTTACATAAACTAATAAGACTTGGTAAAATATAAATGGTAACACTAATTGTCCATAAAAAGTGACCTCGTGTGGTCCACTCGTCTGGCTAATTCAAATAAAATTTCGGTGTTGTTCGTGATTTAATTTAAAACGATTGAAACAAACTATCAGAGCTCAAGGAAGCCTCTTTAGAAAAAAAAACATCACATAAAATTGAAACAATAGTTTCAACTTAAACAGCGGTGTTAGGCTGAGATGAAGAAAATCGTGTTATATATGCTTTTAGTTTGTCGGCGATTTATCTCTATTGAACAAGACTCTGGCAACAACATGAGAAGGAAAACGGAATGATTTGTATGCTGCTTTTTTTCTCTCTTCATCTCTGTCTAGCTTCACCCCTATTATGACTAAAAAATATTGTTCCAGCAGCATATTTATTTGCTTATTTGCTTGTTATGAGGATTGCGTTTCAATAAGAAGGGTAGGTGTTGCCATTTGAAAATTTGAAATTTATTCTTTCCAACCATAAATGGATGATCTCAATTGTTTTAGTTAAATCATCAGAATCTAAAAACGTTCGATCTTTAAACAACAATTAAAGATGTAATTTTATTTCGATTTGTCGATAGCGGTTTATACAAACCTGTCATTAAAATAAAAGAAGATCTTCATTTCTATATCAGAAAAAAAATATTTATATATGAATATTTTTCTTTTCTAGCGGGAAAAAAAAAAAAAAAAACGTTAAATATTGAAAACGTAAGTAGCATCTTGCATGCATCTACGTTTATCATGTTCCGAAACGTACATTTATGCACGTATCTTCAGTTTGATACCATTTACCAAAATCAATTTCGTTTTTATGCTCTCTCTTTCTCCACCCCCCAAAGTGTCCTTCGGGGTGGGATTTTTAGGAGAAATCTGAAATCGATTTATTTACGGTATCGAATTTTTCCCCTCTAGATCATCAAATGGTGTCCTTGTTTCACGGTGTTTGGATTTTAATCAGCTGATGGGCAGAGGATGTTACAATATTCAGCAGGATGGAAAGGTAGAAGAAAAAACAGAAAGGAAGAAAAAGGTAAAAGCCATTTTTGAATTCCGTCAATTATTAGAGGAAAAGAGTCACGCGATGACCCGTGGTCGTATATTAGTTTGTTTTTCACTTATCCTCCCATGGTAACTCTCCATTCCATTTTACTTTGTAATAATACGATGGATAACGACATCTGAATGCGTGATGTCAGTGTAATAGTTTGAATTTCTTAGGTTATTCTGCCGATTTTTATTAGTAAAATAAATATTAATTCACATTTCAAATATGCAAATAATTAAAGCAAACGATATCCTAATAATCAGTGCAAATTATAATTAATATGCTAATATTATCATTGCTGACGATAATTAATATGGTAATAATTAGTGCAAACGACAATTAATATGCTAAAATTAGTGCAAACTATAATTTACATGCCAATAATTAGTTGAAACGATATCTTAAGTTACCTAAAAAAACCTATTTTGTCTGAAAATACTTTGTTACTTTTTTATGAGACGATGGATAACGACATTGTAATTCATTTACATGGGAGATGCAAATTTTGTGTAATAGTTTGAATTCCTTAGGTTATCCTGCAGAATTTTATTTGTAAAATAAATATTAATTCATATTTTAAAGGAGAATATATAAATAATTAGTGCAAACGATATCCTAATAATCAGTGCGAACTGTAATCAATATGCTAATATTATCAGTGTGGACGATAATTAATATGCTAATAATTAGTTGAAACGATATCTAAGTTACCTAAAAAAACGAACTTTCTCTGGAAATTCTTTTTTAGACGGATTTTTAATTCTACAAATATCGTAGTATAGATGAGCTCAGACTCAGTTTTAGAGACAATAAAATTTTATATCGTATTTTTTTTGGAGACTATATAATCCTTAGAGACATAAATCTGAATTCGAAAACTTCTTTTGGTTAATTAGCCCGGACCTCGTTTCGTCTTTAGTAACCGCAATTTAGTAAATTAACATTTAAGCGGCTTACTTGAGAACACAGTCAGGATGATTCGGAAGATGAGCATTTACTTCCATTAAGGCGATCCTGGTTCAAATATCGGAGGTGGTCTATTCAATGATTACAAGACTCATTTTTATACTGCAGTGATGGGTTCATCACGGGTACGGGTTAGAATACTCTTGCCATTGGACTAACAGTTAGAGGTCTTCCTGTTCTTCTCTCTATGTAATATAAAGAACGGTTAGTTCCATTAAAAAGTTCTCAACTCGTGTCTGATCCAGGAGTTCCCTTGTCTTCTAGATTGAGTTCAAAATTACAAGGTCTAATATTACAGCCGAGATAGATTGACTGTTCAACGCCAAATAGAAATTGAAAAGAAAAGTCGTAGGTTGGAGCTCCTTAATTATAAAATATAACCCTTTTTACCTTACCTTTTATGTATACATATAAAACACATAGCCATACAAATAAAACTAAAAAAAACGTGCCTATACAAAGATCAACGTAAATTTTAATATTGGATATTTTATTAATGACTCCAGAAATATTGAACTTTAAGATATAGACAGTTATTAACTCTTAAATAAAATAGCTTTTTTTTTTCTTTTTAAATTTTTTTTTTTTAGTTAAATTACCTTTTCATAATCAAGTTTCAAAACAGCGTGCAAAAATTTTTTGTTCGACTTAAAAAAAAATGCATAAAAAGTCGAAGAAATACAAAGGGCTCAAACATTCGACCACCAGTTTTAGTGGGTCAGTGGTACTAAACGTTAAGCGGGGAAAATAACAATAGCGTGACAACTATAAAAAAAAATGAATAAATAAAAGTTATCTTATTTTATGAAATTAAGATATATTAGTTTAGCAAAACATATTTATCAATTAGTTAAAGGTTCAGTTATTTAAAAACAAGTATAGCAATACTAGTTATAAACAAAACAATGCAATAAGTATATAATATAAGTTTATGAACAAAAACTTAAAAACTCAACATAATATTACAACTTATCTAAATATCTCTTATTAAATATCTTCAACCATTCCTGAAATACCGGTATCGAAAGTATTAAAAGATATTTTAAATGAAAATGGATTCAGTAGCTATCTAGAGTTTTAAATTTTCTCTTTTTCAACAAGTTCGCTCTTAACAAGATTATTAATACAGTGAAACCAGTCAAGTTGACCACCTTTGTAAGATGACCACCAGTCTAACTTAATGTCTATTATCCAAAACCGAAATTTAACTAAGAGGAGTAAAACTTCTGTAATTCTACCACTTGTATATCTTGTATACTGACCGCTGAAATAAACCAAGTTTATCTTGGGGTGCTTTTGAATAATTTTCCAAACCCTTCTTAAGTTGACAAGATAAAAACGTATTCTGAGCTATTATGCTATTGTTATAGATTCTTATAGGTTTGAAATAGCGAGGAGTTTTACTTACCTAGGATCAATTATTACTATTGAGAACAAAATGTCTCCTAAGATTTAGGGAAAAAAATCCCTACTCTATTCGGCAAATAGGGCTGTCTATGGAATGAGAAGATTTATTACATCTATGTTCCTTTCTGGAACAAAGTTCTTTATTTACAAAACTTAGGCCAAATTACGAAACATAATTTACAAAACTTTGGCCTTAATTTACAAAACTTATGCTTCTGAAGCTTGGACAATGACAAAACTGGAAGTTATTATATCTATGTTCCTTTCTGGAACAAACAAAGTTCTTTATTTACAAAACTTAGGCCAAATTACGAAACATAATTTACAAAACTTTGGCCTTAATTTACAAAACTTATGCTTCTGAAGCTTGGACAATGACAAAACTGGAAGTAAATTGCATTGCAATATTTGAGAGAAAGATTTTGCGGAGTATACTTGGTGGTGTAAAAAGGAAAAAAAAATAACTGGAGAAGGAGATTTAACTTTGAACTGTACAAGATTTATAAACATCACGATATTATTAAATACATAAAAATAAATAGGATGAATTGGATGGCCCACGTAATTCGAATGAGCGATGACAATACAGTAAAAAAGATATTGCTTTTTAGACCCACTGGAACAAGAAAGCAAGGGAGGCAGCAGTTGAGATGGGCTGATTCGGCGGAGTCTGATTTTCTTGCAACTAATGAAATGAATTGGAGATCAGAGATAAATCAGAACGGTTATGGAGAAATCTTCAAAGGAAGGCATTGGCCCACATTGGGCTGTCTGGTCAACTATAATGATGATAATGTTATGCATTAGAATTTCACCGAGTGAAGGAAATAATATAAAAAGCTAACTTAATTCCTTCTTTTTCGCTCCCGACAAAATGGCGGGGTAAAGTTTCGCTCTCTATTTCTCGTGCGCTTGATATTTCCGGGCTGGGGTGTTTAAAATAAACGCTCTTAAAAGTTTAAAACAATCTATTTCTTTTGCCCGGAATCATGCTTATTTCACAAACATTGCACCAGTTGGGAGTAACTATTTGTAATGTGTTCAGAGATATTTAGTTTACTTTAAACTAGATGTCAGCAATCATCAAACATGTATATTTGAGATTTACCTTAAAATTAAAAACGAATACATATATTGTATATACACTTCATTTTACATAATTTTCTTCAGTAAAAAAGAGTCACTTTTAAGACAGGTTTCTTCAAAATTATACGATCATTAAACTTCTTTGTCAGTTGATCTTTGAAAAGCTATTAAGAGCTTTTGTTAAAGTAAATTTGCAAGTTATTAGAGAACTTTATGTTATATTCATTTCAGCTTACAAATCATATCAGTTTATTATTAAATTAAAGCAAGAGATTGTAAGGAGTTTAATTTACACGACACAGGCCACAAGGGCTCATACATTTTTGATGACCACCGTCGCGGGCAATCCCGAGCAGCACAAAAGAGTCAAGCAATCTCGGACTCAGGGCCAAAGGCCCCGAGTCACGCAAAACAAAGCAACAATGTGTGAGTCATACTAGCAATTAATCTCATTTCTTAAGATACATGAGGTACTACCACATTTAAAAAAGTTTAATTACATTCATTTTTATTGGTAAAAAATAAGAAACGTGTTAATAATGAAAATACAATGATTCATCAGCATCGATAAGTTCAAATAGAAAATCGCTAACTTACACAGTTTTCGTTGCAATTTTACTTTCAGTAAATAGTGTTTAGTAAATGTATGCAAACAGAAATGCTTTTGTTACAGAAATAAATTTATTTTTAAGTACAGCAGCTTGATCCTATTCGTTTCCGATTATAAAGTCAATTATTATTATTATTTTTTTTTTTTTACAAAAAAAAGTTTGTAGTATTTTTATTTAGACAGGTATCGCAGTTTTGGCCTTCCTTATTTAGCTGTATTGTTTGATATTACGTAGTACAATTGTTAGAGATACAGTGAAACCTGTATAAGTTGTTTTGTAACTTTCGGGACAGAAATTTAATGGTCCACTTGCGAAAGTGGTGAGCGCGACACAGGCCACAGGAGAAATTTATTAGCCTTCGCCAGTTTGGTACTTGACCTTTAAAATTTACTTAGCAGGTTTCCCTGTACTATATTTTTCTATTTGTGAAGATATTGATGAATATTTGTTAGCATATTCATTATTAATTTTTATTTTGAAAATATACTAGAAAAACTGTAAAACCAACCACATTTAACACATGAGGCCAAGTTCGAGGGTACACACATATAAAATAAAGAAGTCTGCTGTAGAAAATACGATCCATAACTGATTAAACGGTTGATCTCGGAAAAGCGGTGACTGGCAGGGTCTCATTTAGAAAGTTGGAGGTGATAGGCACAGAAATGTTAGGTGCATCATTGGTCCTAAAATTTACATGCAAAAAAAGCTTTTAAATTTTTTAGAAGGCCGGGATAGCCAGGTCGGTTGGGCGTTGGGCCCATGTCGGAGAGTTCGTGGGTTTGAACTCCGCCGGCCGAAGACTCCCCGTGTAGTAAAGTGGCTGATGCACGTTAAATCTGTCGAATTGCAAAAATCCTCCATGTTCCCATAACAAATCAACACCTCTGGTGGTACTGGATTGGAGATCGATCGTTCTCTGATTCAGGCCAAAATTACGATCTGTGGATGAATGAATGGATGTATGAATGGGTCCACCCTATAAGCGGGTGCAACATATGGTGTGACAGAGGTCGAATTCTTGGCTATAGATGGCGCCACCGAAAAACAAGAAACGCATACTCTGCCTTAAAAATTTTCTCTGTTTCACCAAGCTTGGCCGTGTGGCAAGTGGCATCAGAAACAACACAACAATTTTTTTAGAATATAAGTAAATTGTGATAGATTAGTAAATTTTCAATTTTTCTTAACACTCATAATTCTAATAGACAATTCTTCAGGAAAAAAACACACAAAGAAATATTTTAAGCATTTTGGAGCCCCAGTCATGTAAGGGTCCTAGGCCTTGGACATTCAGGCCTTATGATAAATCAGGCCCTGGTGACTGGGAAAGTATCGCTCCAAATTATTTGAACTCTTTTAGCAAATTCAGTGCAACTGCTCTTTGATTTCACTTTGTAAGTTTGAATTCCTTTTTCAGTGGACCTGAGAGATGAACATTCGTCGACTGACGACTCTATTGCTGCTGCTGTGTTTGAATTTGCTAGTTGGCTTCATGTACATTCAACCCACCAGAATAATGACACTGATTGGCAACCCTACAGTCAATGAAACTGAAATTTTTACAGAAAGTTCCCTTCCAATAAACGAAAGCCAAAAAGTTCCACAGACACCAGAAATGAACTTCCCGCTCTTTTTCAACTTCACGCTGAATCCTTACGATTTATGTTCAAAACATTCCAACAACAAAACGAAGTTATCTCTCCTCATTCTCGTTTGCACGGCCATTCCAAATATCAGACAAAGACAAGCTATCCGAGCGACTTGGGGATCAATAGCTGCCGCAAATAACAACTCGGGTTATGTTCGACTGGCATTTTTATTAGGCTCGACAACTGTTCTCCAAGAACAAGTCGAAGAAGAATTTTATCAGTATAGTGACATTATACAGCAGAGTTTCATTGATTCCTATCAAAATCTAACTTTAAAATCACTGATGCTTTTACAATGGGTATCACAGTTTTGTCCAAACGTTCAGTATGTCTTAAAGACAGATGACGATATGTATGTGAACGTTGCAAATTTATTGAATATGCTGATTCGAGTGCCGGTAAAATCTAATGTGATGTACGGAGTGCTATTTAAAAAAGCTAAACCTAACAGGAATTCTGCAGCAAAATGGTTTGTACCAAAGAAACAGTTCGACGGAAGCGTTTTCCCAGATTACCTTTCCGGAACTGGTTACGTCATGAGTCGCGATGTTCTTCCAAAACTTCTTGACGCAAGTGCGGCTCTACCGTTTCTCGTGATGGAGGACGTTTTTATTACAGGCTTGTGTGCGAGTGAGAGTCATGTCAGACGCTTCAACGTCAGAGGGTTCGCTTACTGGAGAAGGCCACCGACGGGCTGTGCTTTTAAGGACGTCATCACAGGTCACCATGTCACTCCGAGTGATATGAAAAAAATATGGAAAGAACTACAAAAGAGACCACTAATATGTCGCAAATCGAAAAAGAAAATATAAAACCGAGATATTTTTGGTGCAAATTTTGTTATCAATTGCTGATTGTAATGTTTTAATTCTGAGTTAAAAATATATATCTTCGAGAGAATTTATTAAAGTGTTTTAAATAATTTACGAATAACGTCGATCTCTTTTCACATTTTAGAAATAATTTGTTTAAATGAAGAAAAAAATTAAATAATAACAATAATGCCTGTTTAACTGTCCATGACCATGGTTGACTCTTTAAGGTCTTTTCCATGTAATAACGTTGTGCGTAATCGTGTGCCTATAGACATATACTAAACTTTTTCTACCTCTGAACCTTCCCTTTCCTCCTCTTTTCAGTTGTATAGGAATGCACTACGATATTTTTCCTTTTCTTAATATTTTTCGAATTTAATTGCATTAAAAATATTTTTTAAAATTTCCACGACGCTTTTTTAAGAACCATGTTTAATGTAGTTTTCAGTTCCATATAGTTCCCTAACTTAATTGTTGTTGTTGTTGTAGTTCAATTACGCCACACTAGAGCTGCACAATGGGCTATTGACAACTGTCTGGGAAACATCTCTGAGGATGACCCCTGAAGACATGCCATCACAATTTTGATCCTCTGCAAAGGGGATGGCACCCCCGCTTTACGATAGAACAGTTTAACGAGGACCAATATCACACACCCTCCGTCTCTACGCAGACTAATCCAAGTAGTCAAGCATCACTGACCACAGCGAGTGATGCTTGACATAGGTGATCTGTTGGGAACAGGGTCTTAACGATCAGTCCACTGCAGGACGTTTCCTAACTTAAAAGATTTTAATCTAGTTGAAAATCAAGACAGAATCTGACGTACTTCCTTCTTCTATGACTCTCCACACGCTAATGGTGAAAGTATGCGAAGTGTTGCTATAGGTAGAGAGTTCTGCTCTACGCCATCTGTGGCCCATTTCGATCGCCAATACACGATGTTCCGTATAGGCAATTCTTTACACATGTTTTCAAATGCTAGATAAAAATAAAATACACATTAGAGCTCGCAAATTGTTATTAAATCGAGGAAAAAGCAAAAAACGCTAATGAAAATAATAAATAAAAGCCAGTTTGATGACCGTAGAAAGCTCGGAGGTTTTTCTAATTCTTCGCATTTCAATGTCCTTCCGTTTTCTATGGCAATAAATAAGAACAGACACTTCACTTTTTCACTCAAATTGAAGGCACATTCAAATTAAATTGAACGCAGTTACATCATGTTAATTAATCTTCAACTGTTTATTAGTCTATGATAATGACTTACAATTATTTTTCTTTTGACCTGCTGATCTAGTACAGTGAAAAAAAGTAGGTTTTTTTCAAGTGGTTTGGCAAACCTTGACTATGATGGAAAAGTCAGAAAAATTGCACACCTGTGACTGAGGATGATCATTACTTATGACACCAAAGACGACAAGAGTCTCTAAAAGGAAAACCGATTTACCTCGTGAGGAAGGGTAGTCTCCTAAGAGGTAGTCTCAATCTGAGAAATATGGTCTCATAGTCTGGTCAGGAGAGCGATCCAAAGTTTGTAACCCAAAGTTATGCTAATTTCACTTTTCGCGTTTTCAGTCATATTTTTTTAAACTAATTAAACAATTCAAAAACAAACAAAAAATCGCCCCCACACTTAAAACCCGTTTACCCAAAGATAATTTCATACAAAAATTAATTTTTAACAATTATTTATTAATTTTTATTATTTAATTTAATTGAGGATTAAAAAATTTTGAATTATTAGATATAAATTTTTTTATTCTATATTAATCTACATATTTTTCTATTAAAAATTCCAAAACTGTAAATGTTTTTATTAGCAGAATCCTAGAAAAATTAATTATTTTTAAAAAAATAATTTAGCGGCAATAAAAAAATATTTAAATGGGCAATTTATATTTAAATGTGGTTAACTTACAAAGAACTTGTCTTACGCGTGCGTAGTGTAAAATTTCATTAATATTTTTACTCTAATAACCGATTGATTTACTTTTTTTTCTTCTTTTTTTTTTAAATATAAAATAGACTACTTCTTTCTTAGTCGTCTAAAAATGTATTCGTAACTCAGTAAAAAAATGTGAATAAAACATTTTATTGAATAGAAACATTTTATTCAGCGAATGTCGAATTTTATACATCAGATTGTGATAATAATTACTTTAATTAGATTTTAATTTTTAGTTTCTTTCTTCAATTATTATTACAATTTCAATAAGGTACATACGTAATGATAGATTTGGAACAATATATTTATCAATTTCTTCAATATATATTTTATAATTTTTAATACAATTACGCAGTCAAAATTTTTAAATATCTTAAAATTTCTCGACATCTTATATATTGTCTTGATCTTGAAACTAATTTTTAATTACCTGTCACGCTTGTTTCGCAGAACTATTTTATCAACTACTTAAATTTCATTTTTAAAAATCTTATTCTTTACGCTATCACTTTATCATTAATATACTAATAAATTTTTGTTAGTACTTTAACTTAGGTTTTCCTTTGAAGTAAAATTCTTCTTATAATTATTGTCAAGTTTTTATAAAAGAAAACTTAGAATTATTGTCTGCTAGCTGAGAACAAAATCATCGTAAGAAATTAAAAACAATCTGCCGTTTAAAATTATTCGATGCAAAACAGCTGACTATTTACTAAGCATACTAATTTTTCGAAAAATGAAGATAAATTATTGTTTCTTGTAATTTCAGCATAGATTATCTAAATTAGAGCAGTGTTGATGTTTTACAAGTTACTACAAAGAGTATTAAGTTACCGAACATAAAGAGCTGTCGAATACGTAGCCAAAATTTTTAAGCATCTTAAAATATCTCTGTATCTTATGACGTCCTAATTTTAAAATAATATTTTTAATTACCTGGCTGCCTGTGACTCACAGAACTATTCAACAAATTATTTTATTACATTTTTTATTCTTCCTTTATTCTTTCCCCATAATACTTCTTAAAGTTTAGTAAAAGTTTTTCCTTAAATTAACACTCGTTGTAATTTTGCTAAGTTTTTTTTTTCGAATCTCAGAACTACAGCCACAGTTAGCTGATCAAAATGTAAGAATATTTTCGATGTTAAAATTATACAGTGCAAAACATTTGATACATATTAGTGCATAATTAGTGCAACCCAAATATATGTATTAGGTTGCATAATATACATATTAGTGCAACCCAAAAAACCACAACTGTTTGCATTGGTTTTTAAATGAATAATCGAACAGCAATTTAACTTTGACGTTCATACTTATATCTTACACAGTTGATTTTAAAAAAGCTGCTCTTTTTTAAAAAAAAAGTGGTTGAAAAAAAATTTGCTTTTGCTAAAATTACTTTTCAACTTAAACACAATTCCCAAGATATTATTTCAGCAAAGTTTGTTATTAGGAAAATACCTTATTTTGATAAACAGCAAATACTAAAAATTGAAATTTGTAAAACTATTCCGAAGTCGTACCAAATTTAGAATTCTTCTGAATTGAAAAATCTAATATGAAATACGCAATTTTCGAAACATATTATTGCTTGTAAGCAAAAACGTGAATAAATCATATAGATAGAATTCACACGCCTGCGAAATTGAAGTTATGTATTAAGTTGGTGAGTTTATTTTTGAGTTATGGGGCCAGAGAGATCCCATAAATACTTCTTGAGTTTTGAATAAAAGAGTATTTCATCATTTGAACGATAATTTTGTTTTTATTGTTTTAATTAAGAATCAGAAATTCTAACCTACAGTTCAAACCGGATCGTTTTCAATACTAATTCAGGTGAATATCACAAATAAAGATCGTCCAAACTGATTGATACTGTTCCAAAAGTCAAGAGTAGAAGCAAGAAAAAAAAA